GGCATTGCAAGGGCTCTAGAAACCAAATTGTCACCAGAACTACAGTCATAACCTGTGTACTAATATAAACAGGGTGATTGCATGCTAAAATACAAAATTAGAATTTTAAAGCAGCCATCATAAAAGTGCTTTAACAAGCAAGTATGAATTCCCTTGAAATAAATAAAAACTAAAAACCTCAGCAAATAACTGTAAGTTATATAAAAACCAAATGTTAATTGTCAATATGAAAAATATAATTAAAATTAAAAACTTAAATGGGCTCAGCAGCAAAACATTGTTCCAGTAGGTTACTCAAAGTAGTAAAATGTAGCTGGCTGTGGTGGTGTGCACCTGTAGTCCCAGATATGCAGGAGGCTGAGATGGGAGGATCACTTGAGCCTGGAGTTTGAGACCAGCCTGAGCAACAGAGTGAGACCCTATCTCTAGAGAAAAAAACAGTAGTAGAACATGGATACCAGTTGATTGTATGAATATTGTCATACCTAGAGCAACCACTAAGAAAACTATACAAAGTACTATTCTCAAAAACATTTTTTAAATAAAAATAGAATTCTAAAAAATGTTCAGGTAACCTTGGGTGAGATGTAATTTGAAAAAATGAAAAAAGGAAATTAAAGATTTTTTTAAAAGTTCAAGTAACCAACAGGAAGGCAAGAAAGTAAAACAGAGAAATGAGAAAAAGAACAAATGGGCCGGGCATGGTGTCTCATGCCTGTAATCCCAGCACTTTGGGAGGCTGAGGCAGGCATATCACCTGAGGCTGGGAGTTAAAGACCATCCTGATCAACACAATAAAACCCCATCTTTACAAAATTAGCTGGGTGTGGTGGTGCATGCCTGTAATCCCAGCTACTGAGGAGGCTGAGGCAGGAGAATCACTTGAACCCGGGAGATGGAGCTTGCAAGTGAGCACCTGGCCATCAGTAATTATTGTAGATATAAATGGTCTAAGTACTACAATTAAAAGACAAAGATTAGAGAGTAGATTTTTTTTTAAGTAAATGACTTAAGGAGGCCAGGTTCAGTGGCTCCTGCATGTAATCCCTTTGGGAGGCTGAGACAGAAGGATCACTTGAACCTAGCAGTTCGAGACCAGCCTGAGTATCACAGGGAGAACCCATCTCTATAAATAATTTTAAAATTAGCTGGGCATGGCACAGGCACACACCTGTGGTCTTAGCTATTCAGAGGGCCAAGGTGGGAGGATTGCTTGAGCCCAGGAGGTAGAGTCTACAGTGAATACAATTAGCCATGATCACACCTGTCTTGAAAAAATAATGGCCCAACTATATGCTATCTATAAGAAATTCATAACAAACATAAGGACATAGGTAGGTTAAAAGTTAAAAGATGGGAGACAGGCACAGTGGCTCACGCCTGTAATCCCAGCACTTTGGGAGGCTGAGGCAGGTGGATCACAATTGATAGAACTACTAACCAGAATGTTAGTAAAGCTGTAACAGTGCCATCAGACAACAAAATCTCATAGACATTGATAGAAATTCCACTCAGTGACAGAATATACATTCCCATTAAACATTTGCCAAGATGGATCTTGGGTCATAAAACCAACTTCAATAAATTTAAAAGATTAAAATTATGATGGAGCATGGAGGTTTGTGCCTGTAATCCCAGCACTTTGGGAAGCTGAGGTGGGGGGGACTGCTTGAGACCAGTCAGTTTGAGCCACATGGCAGGACCTTCATCTCTTCAAAAATTTTTTTTTGTAAATTATTCAGGTATGGTGGCACATGCCAGATGTCCCAGCTACTTGGAAGACTGAGGCATTAGGGTCTCTTGAGCCCAGGAGTTTGAGGTGGCAGTGAGCTGTGATTATGCCACTGCACTGCAGCCTAGGCAACAGACCCCATCTCTTTAAAAAAAAAAAAAAAATTGAAATTGGAATTATTCCAGGTATACCAGGCTAGTACAATAATCAAATAAAAGTAATTTGTCATCTCATAGTCTAAAGAAAAAAATGTAAACACAGGATAATTGTTTAACACAATTCAATAGCCATCCATGTTAAAACTCTCAGCAAACTAGTTAACTTGACAAACAGCGTCTATAGAAAGCCTACAACTAACATCATATTTAATGTTGAATAATGAATGCTTTCCATCTAAGATTGGGAATGAGGCAGGGATGTCTACTTGCACCACTGTTTTTTAACATAGTATACTGGAAGTTATTATAGAGATGGAGAGCATAGTAGTTGCCATATATTTAGGGATTGGAAAGAGGAGATGGGGTAGATATGGCTATAGAGGGGTAATATGAAGAAACCCTGTTGATTGTAAGCAGCCACTCTAGGCCTGGTAATCTATAATTCCCGCACTTTGGGAGGCTGAGGTAGTGGTTACACAAAGCTACACTTGATAAAGTTGTATAGCACTACACACACACACACACACACACACACACACACACACACACAAATAAGTGCATCTAAAGCGAAAAATCTGAGTAGGCTCTGTGGGTTGTCTCCGTTTCCTGGTTTTGGTAGTATACCGTATTTACGAAGGATGTCAACACTGGGGAAGACTGGGTAAAAGGGTACACAGGGACCTTCCTTATGTAATTCTTTGCAATTTGCTGTGAATCTAATATTTTCTCAAAACGTTTTAAGCCTCCTACCCTCCCCATTTTTGTGTCTCATCCTTTCCCCCACAAACGTTGTTCTGTTTAATTGGAACCCTTTCAAAGATTATTTTTAAATGCATATACAAGTGTATTTGCAGTACTACCTTATCCCCCATCCCTTTTCAAGACAGATGGTTTCACATTATACTTATGCGTTGCTGGGTTTTTTTTTTTCACTTAGTAGAGACCATTGCATAGTAATTATAAAATAATTTCTCCATGCTTTATTTTTTCTCATTCAGAGATTACATTGATATTTCTACCATAATAACCAATTTTCTATTAACAGACTACTGGGTTGTTCTTTTGCTTTTAGAAACAATGACCTGGTGGAAACCTTGCACATTTATTATTTTGCTGGTGTATAAATACCCCTCTAAGATAAGTTACTAGAAATTGGTTTTCTGGATTAGAATTTGTGTGTACTTGTAATTTTTAGAAAATGACACTGTCAGGCAGCCCTGCCTATGAGTCATAGCAGTTCACATACCTACCAAGTATATTTCTTCATATTATTCTCAATAGTTATTTTAAAATTTTGGGACTTTTGACAATATGTTAATGTTAAAATGGCATTTCAGGCCAAGCATGGTGGTTCACGCCTATAATCCCAGCACTTTGGGAGGCCAAGGTGCGTGGATCACCTGAGGTCAGGAGTTTGAGACCAGCCTGGCCAACATGGTGAAACCCCGTCTCTACTAAAAATACAGAAATTAGCTGGGTGAGGTAGTGCGTTCCTGTAATCCTAACTACTTGGGAGCCTAAGGCAGGAAAATATTTGAATGGGGAAGACAGAGGTTGCAGTGAGCCGAGATCACGCCATTGTATTCCAGCCAGGGTGGCAGAGTGAGACTCCATCTCAAAAAATAAATAAAATAAAGATATTTCAGTGGGGTTTTAATTTTTATTTTTCTTATCATACTTAACATTGGACATCTTTTCATAGATTCAAAAGACATTTGTATCTCTTTTCTATAAAATGTATTCATATTGTTTTGGTCATTTTTCCAGTTGTTTATTGGCCTTTGTAGCAGTTATTGATTTGTGGGAGTAATTTGTAGAATAAGCTCTTTGTCTTTGGCATGAGGGTCAAGTATTTTTTCTGTTTCTCATTTGCCTTTTGACTTTTTTTTTTTTTGAGACGGAGTTTCACTCTTGTTACCCAGGCTGGAATGCAATGGCACGATCTCGGCTCACTGCAACCTCCGCCTCCTGGGTTCAGGCAATTCTCCTGCCTCAGCCTCCTGAGTCGCTGGGATTACAGGCATGCGCCACCATGCCCAGCTAATGTTTTGTATTTTTAGTAGAGACGGGGTTTCACCATGTTGACCAGGATGGTCTCGATCTCTTGACCTCGTGATCCACCCGCCTCGGCCTCCCAAAGTGCNAGTAGCTGGGATTACAGGCATGCGCCACCATGCCCAGCTAATGTTTTGTATTTTTAGTAGAGACGGGGTTTCACCATGTTGACCAGGATAGTCTCAATCTGTTGACCTCATGATCCACCCGCCTCGGCCTCCCAAAGTGCTGGGATTACAGGCTTGAGCCACCGCGCCCGGCTTGACTTTTATTATAATAAAAGTTTTATCTTTTTTTGTTTTTTTGCCACATAGAAGTTTTTTATTTTTCTTTAGTCAAACTTTTGTGGCCTGTGGACTTTGTGCCAGTTAGAAAGTCCTTCCCCGCACAGCAAGATTATAAATTTAGCAGTATTTTAATGCTTTCAGGTGTAGTCCTATTGAAATCTGGAGTAACCTCTCCACAGAGAGGAGGCTATATTGCCTTAGTCAGGAGACTTTATTTCTGGCCCTGGGTCTTGTTCCATGGGTCTCCTCAGCCTTGTTGGAAATCTGGGTCACTGTTAGAACTAGATCAGGTTAATCTCGCATCCTCTATAAAGTGGTTCTTTATAGGGAAAGGAAGGAAAGGGAGTCATTGAATGATCTTCTGGCTCTTACCCCATCTCACAGCAACATTTATTTCAAAGATAGATTCTGGTAGAAGAGGTTTTTGTCCTATTGCTTGGAGAGCTAGTGGTTGGCAGACAGAGTCCCTTTGGTCTCCAGGGAAGGGAAACCAAACTTAAAGGACCATTTCTTTCCACCGATCATTCGTGCATGTGCCACTTAGACTGCTTCTCCACAGGGTCAGGCTCCTGAATCTGAGGAATCTGAAACTGTTCTCCATCACAATGAGAACTTGGGAGTCTTGTCCACATTTCAGCAGCACAACCCTGTGGACTTTTTTCAGAATGAAGTGCTAGTTAGTGGTCTGTCTTTGCTAAACCTTGTATTTTCAAAATGGGTGTGAAAAACGTTTGCTTAGCAGAATTCCCACCCACCCTCTCCCCTTAGGAGTAGCCAGGCCAGAAGAAGGAAGGCCTGCTGTGAGTGGGGCTGGAAATGACATCACCACCCCACCAAACAAGGAGCTCCCACCAAGCCCAGAGAAGAAAACAAAGGTAGGTGCCAGAGTGGTGGTTATCTTGTACTGCCAGAATTTTTAAACACAGTATCTTCTGCTGTTATTGCTTGAATCATGAATGGCATTTCTTTTTTCTGAGCTATTGTGGTCCTTCCTCATGTTTGGACATGCTTAGAAAATATCTTGTATTCTCATTTACCATAGTGTCCTAAACAAACATTAAAATCTCAGCCTTTGACCCTGTTATCTTACATATCTGTAAAAAATGTTCTATAGAGATTGTTTCTGCTTCCCTTAACAACAACAAAAAGGACAATTACAAAAATATTCTGAAATAAATTCTGAATTGTTTGCTATTAACTCAGTGTTAAAGAAAAAAAGATTCTGAAATCTCCATTCATGAAAAGAGAATGCAGATTTTGAAGATGGATCATATAGCTTCAGACACATAACCCTCGTACTTACTGCAAAGTTCAAAAGCCACACTGTAGGCTGTGGCTGTTGTTGTCCCATAAGATACAGATAGTTTCAGCATGTCCAGGGGCTTCAAAAATTTAAATTAAAAAGTTCTGAAAAAAAACACAGGTCATAATGGCTTCATCACCTCCTGATGATTTTCTTGTAGAATTATTTTAGCCACCAGAAGTTAGTTTTAAGAGTTAGTTAATTGTTTTACTGAATTAAATCTTCAGGTGCCAAACTGCCGGAATTTGTGGCACTGTCATTAAGAAACTAATCCCCATTTTCTTTCTCTATCCTGGTCTCATTCCATTGTTTATAGAACTCAGAAGAATGAAATGCCAATTTTAAGTTGTATCTATCCTCATAGCTTATAATTTTACTTTGAATTGTGCAATTTATACTTTTTTTTATTTGTTTTTATTCTTGTCTGTGTGTTTGATGTTGGCCTTTAAAAAATAAAAATAAAAAATAAAAAAAACAACAATCAACCTAAAGCCTTTGGCGTCCACTCAGCCTGCAAAGACTTCAACATCGAAAGCCAAAACACAGCCCACTTTTCTCCCTAAGCAGCCAGCTCCCACCACCACTGGTGGGTTGAATAAAAAACCCATGAGCCTTGCTTCAGGCTTAGTACCAGCTGCCCCACCCAAACGCCCTGCTGTCGCCTCTGCCAGGCCTTCCATCTTATCTTCAAAAGACGTGAAGCCAAAGGTAAGTGGTCACCTAACTACTGTGCTGAGGAAAATTGTTCCCCTCTGAGTGTCAGATAGATGGGCTCTTGTTGCTAAAGACAACAGAATCAGGCTGGTGGCATTGGGAAAAGGCAAGTGAAATGGGGGAGAGGGGATTTGAAAATTGGCATGGCTACTCCGGGCACACTGCCTGTGGGTTAGCCCTGCTCCACAAGGAGCAGCCAAAAAAAAGAAAAAAGGAAATCAATTTGGGGCCCATTGATGCAGCCATTAACATTTTGATTTTATGCTTTTTACCTTTTCCTGCCCTATTTGGAGATAATACTCCATCTACTTAGGTTCCTCCTCTCTTTCTCAACCACTTACTCTTTACCTGCTTAAGTACTTACCAATTTCCTCAACTCCATATACCAATTCGATATTCTTTTTTGGTATAATTCCCACATCAAATTTAATTTTTTGTCTTTCTGTATAATCATGCTGTAGAAGTGAGTTTTATCCATTACTTTTGTGATATAATTGGCTCTTGCAGCTTATCTGAGCGTGTTCCAGCATGATGTGATGTGATAACTTAACTTTGCTTTGGGCATTAGGCCACCTCTCACTGAGCTGCTCCTGAAGTCATCCAGTTTTCTAGGTCATCCACAGTTTCTGTATTTCCCAGAATAAAGTGGCATTAGTGTTACGGAATTGCTCCAGGAGGAGAGGGTAGTGTAGAGGCTGTGGCTGGTTTCCTTACCATCTTGTCTTATTTGAAAAGGGCCTTTAGGTTAACCTGATAGTATTATTTAAATTCATGGTGTGAAAGTTTCCCATGTTAAAATGTCAGTTTTTAATTTAATATTGTGAAGAAAACTGATGGAACCTAGGAATTGAAGTCTAGACTGAAACCCTGGCCAAGAAACTGAGAAATCCTCTCATAAACTAGTAATGATAAAAATCTAGCAAAGCTTTCTCTAGTTGGTTGGTTTTCTTGATCTTCAGAAAGCAATAGGTTTGAATAAGAGGGCAGAGGGGAGGTGCCTGGAGCCCTGGCTGCAGGTCCTCCCTGCTACGTATTCAGCAGCGGCCCCCAGGGGAGACAGAGGAGAGCATAGGAAGGAGAGGTGTCTAGTGAAATTTCACTCTATAATAATCATATAAATGAGGCCAGGTACAGTGGCTCACACCTATAATCCCAGCACTTTGGGAGGCTGAGGCAGGCAGATCACAAGGTCAGGAGTTCGAGACCAGCCTGACTAATGTGGTGAAACCCTGTCTTTACTAAAAATACAAAAAAAGTTAGCCAGGCATGGTGGCACATGCCTGTAGTCCCAGCTACTCAGGAGGCTGAGGCAGGAGAATTGCTTGAACCCAGTAGGCGGAGGTTGCAGTGAGCTGAAATCACGCCACTACACTCCAGCCTAGGCCACAGAGTGAGACTCCATCTCCACCCCCCTCAAAAAAAAAAAAAATCATATAAATGAAGTGTACTGTACTAGTTGCTTTATATACACCTTTATTTATTTATTTGTTTGTTTGTTTTTTTGAGATGGAGCCTCACTCTGTTACCCAGGTTGGAGTGCACTGGCACAATCTTGCTCACTGCAACTTCCACCTCCCGAGTTCAAGCAATTCTCATGTCTCAGCCTCCTGAGTAGCTGGGATTACAGGCTCCCACCACCATGCCAGGCTAATTTTTGTATTTTTAGTAGCGATGGGGTTTTGCCATGTTGGACAGGCTGATTTCAAATTCCTGACCTCAGGTGATCTGTCCACCGAAGCCTCCCAAAGTTTGCTAGGATTACAAGCATGACCCTCTGCACTGGACCTGTTATAATCTGTTTTACCCAGATGAGGAAATAAAGCTTAGAGAGGCCCAGTGATTTGCCCAAGAACACACTGAGAGTTAAGGGGCCGGACCAGGACTACAGCCCAGGCTTCTGACCCAGATTTGGCCAGTGACCTTTTCATCTGCAGCTTATTTTGGTAGAAAGATTTGTAGAGGCAAACAGGGAGAAAAACCTATTCAGAAAAAAATCAGTAGATTATGATTCTGGCAGAGAAGAAAATGTAAATTGGGAAACAGCAGAATAGCTCCAGTTAAGTTCTGTAGGTTGTTGAAGCCAAGAAGAGCGTGGCATCTGAAGGATTGAGATTTCTATCCCACATAACTTTTTTCTAACTTACTTTATCATTATTACCCTTACTGGGAAAGTAGTAGAACTATGCTAGGCTATTCTGAATAATAGTCATAGTGTTAAAATTTTGATGCACATCCCAGAGAGCATCTGGTTTAGTCCTCAAATTTTAGAGCAATAGGAAAGGGAACCCCTCTGCCCAGAATCCTACATGTTTCCAGCACAGCTGGTAGCAGAACCACTTCCCCTGATTCCAGCCTTAGAGTTCTTCACACCGTACTTAGGGCCTTTATTTGTGGAAATAGTCATTATCCTACATTTGCAGAGTTAGACTTCATTTGATTGGATGCCAGCCCTTAATTTCTAAGTACCTCCTTTGCTGATTTTTCCATTTAACAATATCCTGCTTGTCTCTACCTACATACTGCCCTCTGTATAGCCACTTGTCTTGGGAGGAAGAGAGCTGGGCCCAGTGTGTCTGTGGTTTGGCTTACTCTCTTGAGTATTATGGTACATTTGTTTATCACAATAGTGTCTTCATCCCCTATCCCCATAGAAGCCAGGCTAAATTGATTCTTTCCCTTCCTCACTAGTGATGTTGTTCCCAGCCTTCATGTAAAAGGAACTAGAGTGACCCAGATGCCAAGCATCTACCCTTGAGAGACTTTTTCTCTTTTGCTCTTGGACCATAGCTGTGATATCAGTGCTCTTTATCCGTTCTGTTGGTCTGGACTGCCTCTCCTCATCATCTCTGTGCTGAGACCTTTCATCCTTTATTCCCTGACATCACATATTATCAAAGCTGTCCTTAATGACCCTCTGTTCTAATCTCTATCCTGATGAGGAAATAAAGCTCAGTGGCTCAGTGATTTGTTGGAGTAGGGCTGCAGCTCACGCTTCTGGCCCAGATTTGGCCAGTGGCCTCTCCATCTGCAGCTCAGTCCTGTTCAGTATTCTCTAGGTGTGTGTTAGCCAAAAGAATGGCTCAATTTGACTGAACACAATTTTTGGTTTTTTGTTTGTGTATGTGTTTAATCTTAAGTATAATACATTAGATTTTGTTACATTAAATACATTAGTATTTTCGGCATTTCTACAGAGGTTACATTAAGATATACATACATATATATTAATATATAATGCAGTAGATCCAGAGGCAAATGTAGGTTGTGGCGATGTACCCTTCAGGGCTACTTATTCTCACTGACTTAGGTTGGATTGAAGTCGTTTTACTCCGTGTAACCAGCCCTCAGATCACATAGTACCCTACCTGGCCAGTTTGTTGCTTTATGTGGAGGATTTTGCTCTTAGAACCATATATATTTTCCTGTCAGTAGCTGCTGAACCCACAGTACCTCCTGTTCTCTGGTACATGCTTGTATAGAAGCATCATGTAGTGTGACTGCCTGTGACTATTGCTGACCTCCAGGCCTCACTCCCACTTTCCCTATTTCCAGCCCATTGCAGAAGCAAAGGCTCCTGAGAAGCGGGCCTCACCATCCAAGCCAGCTTCTGCCCCAGCCTCCAGATCTGGATCCAAGAGCACTCAGACTGTTCCAAAAGCCACAACAGCTGCCGCTGTTGCCTCAACTGGGCCAAGCAGTAGGAGCCCCTCCACGCTCCTTCCCAAGAAGCCCACTAGTGAGTATTGCCTGTCTTTCTCTCCCATGGGAACTAGGGAGGGGAAAATGGGGTCTTGGCTTTGCCTTCACCATTGCTCTAGCCAGCATCACAAACAGCTGTGCAGGCCTGCCTAGGCACCAGTCCTGAGTGGGCTGCCTGAACAATAGTAGCCTGGTGGGCCTAGTACTTAACAAGCCTTCATCTCTCTGTGAGCTTAGCAGTTGTGTGTATTCAGAAAAATCTTGAGTGAAAATAGAAAGAAAAAGGTACCGCTCATGTATTTCCAGGTAGAATTTACTCTTACCTTCTTAGTAACTCCACAGCACCTAGCACTTTGTGGACATGGGCTTACATGATGATAAGCAGAGAGCTACTCAAGTCCATAGGCATGTATTGACAGCCTACTTCTAAGGCCACATAGAAGGTGTTTTCAGAGCAGTAGGAAAGAATAAGACACAGTGCCTGGCCATCTAATTTACCACTCCATTCCCAGGGACTAACACAGTTCCTGGCTCAAAGTAGACATTCAGTAATTGTTAAATAATGAGAAATCTCGGCCGGGCGCGGTGGCTCAAGCCTGTAATCCCAGCACTTTGGGAGGCCGAGGCGGGTGGATCACGAGATCGAGAGATCGAGACCATCCTGGTCAACATGGTGAAACCCCGTCTCTACTAAAAATACAAAAAATTAGCTGGGCATGGTGGCACGTGCCTGTAATCCCAGCTACTCAGGAGGCTGAGGCAGGAGAATTGCCTGAACCCAGTAGACGGAGGTTGCGGTGAGCCGAGATTGCGCCATTGCACTCCAGCCTGGGTAACAAGAGCGAGACTCCGTTTAAAAAAAAAATAAAATAATGAGAAATCTCAATATTGGATGCACCATCCAACAGGTCAGTTTGTTAAATGTTATGTTAATAAGTATATTTTGTACAGCCATTAAGACTGAGGGAAAACCTGCAGAAGTCAAGAAGATGACTGCAAAGTCTGTTCCAGGTAATAGCCCATCTGCCATTTTGTAGAGCCCTAACTTGAACCCCCAGTTACTCCTCCTCTGTGCACTATGTGTCCCTTTTTCTCTCTGCCCCTGAACCCGTGTTCTCTCACTCCTTTGCAGCTGACTTGACTCGCCCCAAGAGCACCTCCACCAGTTCCATGAAGAAAACCACCACTCTTGGTGGGACAGCCCCTGCTGCAGGGGTGGCTCCCACCCGAGTAAAGCCCACACCTGTGCCATCTCGGCCCTCCACAACTCCTTCCATAGACAAGAAGCCCACCTCGGCCAAGCCCAGCTCCACCACCCCCAGACTCAGCCGCCTGGCCACCAATGCTTCTGCTCCTGATCTGAAGAATGTCCGCTCCAAGGTTGGCTCCACGGAAAACATCAAGCATCAGCCTGGAGGAGGCCGGGTGGGTCCAGGGAGCTTGGGGTCCTGGCATTGCTGGCCCCTGAATCCTCCCCTCCATCTCCACCCGCTGTTCCTAGGCCCACCAAAGAAGGGGCCAGTTAGGACATTGGACTCAGTATCAGGATATTTCAGCCTGGGCTCCATAGTGGGTTTTGTGCCCCAGCAGCAGGAAAGCAGAGTAGGCAGAGCTCTGGACTTTCTCTTCCTGTCTCAATAAGAGAGGCTCCTGTTCTAGATGTTGGGGTCTGGGTTTACAGTTTTACTTGGATGTAAAAGGATTCTGGTCGGGTAAAGTGGGTCATGCCTGTAATCCCAGCACTTTGGGAGGCTGAGGTAGGTAGATCACGAGGTCAGGAGTTCAAGACCAGCCTGGCCAATATGGTGAAACCCCATCTCTTTTAAAAATACAAATGAAAATTAACTGGACTTGGTGACGGGTGCCTGTAATCCCAGCTACTTGGGAGGCTGAGGCAGAGAATTGCTTGAACCCAGGAGGCAGAGGTTGCAGTGAACCAAGATCGCACCACTGCACTCCAGCCTGGGCAACAGAGCGAGACTCAATCTCAAAAGAAAAAAAAGCGGTGGTAGGAGGGGTTCTTTCTTTTATAGAAGAAACAGAGGAGGCCTCAGAGACTGCAAGGATGAGAGACAGCCTAGTTTTTCTTTTTCTTTTTTTTTATTTTAATTTTATTTTTTTTAAAGAGACGGGATCTTGCTATGTAGCCCAGGCTGGAATGCAGTGGCTATTCACAGGCGCGATCCCACTACTGATCAGCACGGGAGTTTTGACCTGCTCCATTTCCAGCTGGGCCGGTTCACCCCTCCTTAGGCAACCTGCTGGTCCCCCGCTCCCAGGAGGTCACATACTAATGCTGAACTTAGTGTGGACACCCAATCAACATAGTGTACTACAGCCCAGAACTCCTGGGCTTAAGCAATCATCACTCCTCAGCCTCCTGAGTAGCTGGGACTATAGGCACACGCCACCGTGCCTGGCAAGCCTAGTTTTTCATGGTTCTTTTTTTTTTTTTTTTAGGACAGTCTGGCTCTATCACCAGGGCTGGAGTGCAGCGGCATGATCTCAGCTCACCACAACCTCCACCTCCCGAGTTCAAGCTGTTCTCCTGCCTCAGCCTCCCGAGTAGCTGGGACTATAGGCATGTGCTACCATGCTTGGCTAATTTTTTTTTTTTTTTTTTTGTATTTTTAGTAGAGACGGTGTTTCACTGCGTTAGCCAGGATGGTCTCGATCTTCTGACCTTGTGATCTGTCTGCCTCAGCCTCCCAAAGTGCTGGGATTACAGGAGTAAGCCACTGCGCCCAGCCATTTTTCATGATTCTTACCCTGCACAGAGAATGTCAGGATAGGCAGAAGGTAGAACACCTCTTAGTTCCACAACCCATGACTTGAGTGAAATCTATCTGAAAGAGGACTAAGGTATCCTCTTGTGGCCAGGATGAGTCATGCTGTGAGCCTTTGGCCTTCCTAAACAACAGGACTGCACTGGATATAGGGAGAAAGGCACAGCAGATCACAGTGCTTCACTTTTAGGATTTTCCAGTTGCATCAATCCCAGAATTATTACTGTTTTTTAGACGGAGTCTCACTGTCGCCAGGCTGGAGTGCAGTGGCGCAATCTCAGCTCACTGCAACCTCTGCCTCCCAGGTTCAGTCTGTTCTTCTGCCTCAGCCTCCCAAGTAGCTGGGACTACAGGCGCACGCTGCCACACCCAGCTAACTTTTGTATTATTAGTAGAGATGGGGTTTCACCGTGTTGGCCAGGATGGTCTTAACCTCTTGACCTTGTGATCCGCCCACCTTGGCCTCCCAAAGTGCGGGGATACAGGTGTGAGCACCCAGCCAATCCCAGAATTATTTAACTTTTAACCATGGGAACTATGTGTGTGGAAAAGATGGTGATGAAAGTCCATCTGAGAATGTTCAGGTCCTTGGAGCAATGACCATCTCATCTCCTAGGTATTCACCATCTCTACACCACCACCACCTTCCAGGGCAGGATATTTAAATTGCTTAATCCAGAGCTCTTAAGAAATTTAGGAGGGACAAAAATGAGGCAGAATCCTGGTGTCACTGGAAGACTCTGATGGCAAGCTGGGATCAGTCTGGATAAGAGCCTGAAAGTTGCTTTTGGTAGTGACAGTGGCTCTGGCATGCTCAGCAGGCCTCTGGACTGTGCTGCTGATGGCCTGTCTCCCCCTGCCTTTGCTCTTACGGTTTCATGATGCAAAAGTTACAAGAGGTCTTGGGTGAGGAGTTAAGTGACTTGGTCTAGTGAATTGTTTTCTGCTCCAGCATACCTACCTGAAGCATGTGATAATTTCTGTCATCAGTATTGACTCCCTGTGACCATGGCAGCTGCTTGGGGACTATCAGAACATTGAGCATGGGGGGTGGGCATTGTAATTGGAAAATCATGCCCTAGCACGCTCTAAGAATCACTAGTTTGGCTGTCTTAGCCTTTCGTTGTGTCTTGATCTGTTCCTCATGTCTCAAAGACTATGGCCTGTAGCTCCTCTTTTTTGTGGTCCTCTACTCAAGTATCTGTGGCTTGGTCTAATCTGGGAAATGTGTGATTTTGCTAGGATCAAAGGCCACCTGCTTTTACCTGGTGGCCTGACCTGGATTTGAGTCCCCTACAGCCTTCTTCCCTTCTTGGCATTTGAGCTCTTATCCTCTTGATTTGAAATTTGCCCTCCCTTTATCTCCATCCAGGCCAAAGTAGAGAAAAAAACAGAGGCAACTGCTACAACTCGAAAGCCTGAATCTAATGCAGTCACTAAAACAGCCGGCCCAATTGCAAGTGCACAGAAACCACCTGCGGGGAAAGTGAGTTTTATTTAGATCCACCTCTGGAAGGTGAAGATGGTAAAATACTTCTTCCAGTCTGAGCCACTTGCCTTCTCTTGCACTTTTTCCCTATCCTTTAGTAGTTTCTGTTTCTTAACCCTCATATTCCCTTCTCTGTACTTGATGACTCAGCCATCAGAAAAGTTTTTGTATTAACCTTCAAAGTTAATAGAGTTGGGAGCCCATTAGCCCTTTGGATTATTATTATTATTTTTTTTTTTTTGGCTGGATAAAGTGGATCCAAAGACTTTCATTCACTTTCTTCACACCAACCTTGATGTGAAACCTACCTTGTATAGATGCAAATACAGCACACCCATGTTCGTTATCAGGAAGACATAGCAGGGGTAATTTCCACCACCTAGAACCCTGGAGACCCTGTGCTTTACCTTGAACTAAAAGATTCCTCTGATAATGCTGCTGGGTATGGAGATAACGTCATTTGCCCTGGTTCCCCAGGTCGCCTCTTAACTGCAAGTTAGGATGCTCATTCCCAATGGAAACCCACTTAGTATAGGCATGCAGCATCACCTAGAGGGCAGAGGTAAGCTGAAACCATAGGTTCTTTCCCCTTGCCCCTGTACCGGAATCCAGGTTCTTCCTGAGTGCTTACAACACCTTCCTTCCTTAGCTGCTGCAGGTAGGTGTGCTTCTCTGCCAGAGAAGCCTAAGCTCCAGCCTTTTGGGATCAGCATGGGAAGTCTCAGCCCAGAGCATTCATATGGTAAAGAAGTCTACACCATGGCTTCTGAGTGACTACTAGAGGTCCTAGGTTCAGACCAATGCTCATTAAGAAGTACTGTGTGATAACCACTTGTTCACCATCAAAGTTGTGAAAAAGGCTAGAAATGAGTAGGTACAATGAGGTCTATGGGTTGGAGTTTCTCAGGATGGATTTCTGTACTCTGAACTCTTCAGCCAGGAGGCTGCATCATTTGCAAAGAAAGGGAGTTGGCAACTATTCCTTCTTGAGAACGTCCTAGGATTCTTTGTTCTAGACTCTTAGAGCCAGGGCCTTGGTGTTTCTCAGTTCCAGGGGGAGCCATTCCTGTATTATACAGTGTGACTATGTCTCCAGGATTGGGTAACATTGCTGCACTGCTTAGAGCCTCTTCTGTCCTCATGGGAATCTCACAGGGTAGAGGACTAGGCATATGGAGGATTCAAGAAGGTATTTTACCCTTGAGTCAAAACTACTATGCTTTCTCGAGCCCTAAGACAAATGGGCTAAGTGTGGAGGGTGCAGCTGCTCCCCTGGTATCAGAGATTCTGTATGTATCCATTTGTATTCACATCTGAGCACTGACCTCTCCTTCCTGTTAGTATCATCTGTGCCCTTGTTGCCAGCTGCCCAGTGCTTCTCAGAGCAGCCTTTGCTTCTGAGAGTGAGTTTCGCTGCAGCCATTCCAGAGCCCAGATTTATTGGGTGAGAATAGGTCCACATGATAGGACTCTTGCAGAGAAGAGCCAAGGACACCGTGCCCAGCTCTTGAGGAGGGAGCAGAGCAAGGAGGTGGGGCTGTGCTTGGTTGGGCATCAGGGGCCTGCTGCTGCCTGGTCCTTGTGCACCACAGCCCTGCCCCCGAGGAGTGGTGATGACCAACACGCAGCGCCTGTGCAGCTCTGCTCCTGTTGTCGTGTTGTCTGTTCACGTTTTTTACTCCCCTCTTGCTCTTTTGCATTTCTTTTCCACACCTGCTTTTCCACACCTGTTGTGCAGAAGGTGGGGGTGGAGGTTTAACAACACTTTTTGTTGGTCATTGTGATCACGTGTAGACTCACTGCCTGCCCTGTGTCGGTTCTAACCAGTCCTCTCCCTTTGTGTTGTTTTTTCTGTTTTCTAACATTCCAGGTCCAGATAGTCTCCAAAAAAGTGAGCTACAGCCATATTCAGTCCAAGTGTGGTTCCAAGGACAATATTAAGCATGTCCCTGGAGGTGGTAATGTAAGTATCAGCTCTGGTTAGCTGGAATCTGAGGCATAGCCCACTGTGAGGTTGTACTGGGGAGAGGGCCAGGTGCCCATGTGGACAGAATCCCAGTGGCCTGGGCTGGGGCGTTCTCTAACAAGCAGTCTAGCAAAGTGAGGGGACCTCGACACTCCCATATGTTTAGACAGGGTGTTTCTGGCGA